CTACAAGGCTATGTGTGAGTGAAGGGGACCTTCACTAAGGGGACCTGCAGGAGTCTACAAGGCTATGTGTGATAACAGAGGGGAGATGGCTTGGACTCCTGGGGACTCACGCTTGCAGACACACGCGCGGTCCATGATCCAGATGAGAGATGAGCAGTATTCACAGTAGGTAGGGATGTTGTACTGCGTGGACTTGAAGATATGGCCGTTGTGTTCCTCCACCTGCAGGGGGCGACAGAGGAATGACCATGAGCCCGACACTGAAACCTTCTACAAGCTGAATCAGTCATCCACCTTGTTTCATCAGCTGGTTCTGCCAAGGTCCAAAGCCCAGAATTCCTGTCTGAAATTGGGATTTCATCGCCTCTATGGACCCACTCTAGTGGAAGTCAGGTGTGCTTCTTTCATTCTGATTGTTCTAACTTTTCAAATACAGCGTTCCCATTTTAACTCGACAGAACCATATTTTGTAATGAATATCAGGGAATGAATATGCATTTTGTAAGGAATAATTGACGACGGGCCGTTGAATTATTAGAAAAATAATGCACACCCGAGGTGGTGATGCGGCCACGGCGCGAAGCGGATTGGCCGTTACTCCTCGGGTGTGCATTATTTTTCTAATAATTCAACGGTCCGGAGTCAATTATTCCGCTTATACTACGGTTGCCACACCTCAAGACATCGATCAGATGATATATTTCAAGGGATTCGCCCGGTTTTTCTACTTAAATCGCTATTGTGAGTAGGATTATTTCTTCCGCATCTCATCCAACGACTCTTTTGCTAGTTCCAAAACGTCATTTTAAAGCTGGCAATGGAGGCTTGAGCCGTTGATAGCAGACTAATGCAGTTAATAATGAAGTTATTAGAAAGAGAGCGAGAGAGACAGAGACACAGAGAAAGAGAAACAGAGAGAGAGAGAGAGCTTGTATGAATTAGGCTACCTCTGTGTGTCCCTCAACAGTGTTCTGAAGCACCGTCTCTAAACTGTAAGTCTGCTTTAAGATGCAGCGCTGTTATTACCTCGCTAGTGAGAAATGTCATGTGTAGCCTTTAAGTTGCTACACTAGGCTAACTGATAAAATCGTCAGGGCAGCGCTGACAACACGTTTTTGTGTGAGTGTGTAACACATTCACATTTCATATTCACCGTAAATATTAAAATTTACTTTCGGAAAATCGTCTGTCATGTTGTTGTTTTTGTTAGTCCTGTGTGCTATATAGGTACTGTATGCTAATTTCCGTTATTACAGTTAACTATGCGAAGTGATATGGAACTGTAATGCGGTCAAGAGAGCTGCCTGGAACTACGTTCGCCGTGCGTTTCCCTGAAAATAATTGCACACCTCAGAACGTTCGTCAGCCAATCAGATTCAAGCATTCAACGGTCCCGTAGTATAAGAATATTTAATGTTGGTTTTGAACTTTTTAAGATCTGAGTGCTGTGAGTTTTTTTATATTATTATTTTCCCACATTTAAAATCACAAAACAATAATTCTATTAAATTCCTGGACACTACTGAAAGGCCAAGAAACAAAGTAGAGGCATCCTGAGGTCAGAGTGGCCGTGTCACGAGTCCATTCTACTTAAGTGACAGATGCATTTTAGTGACAGATGCATTTAGTAGTTCTGTAAAGGTTTATTCCAGTTAAGCAGCTGAATACAGTATCATTGATGCAAACAATACTGAAATTAAATACTGTGGTCGACTATACAAAAGCAAAGTTCCCCCAGGGATTTGAACTGGCAACTGTCTGATGCCAGACCTGAGAACCACAGTACCACCTGCATTCATGAGGCAGTTTGAGGCTGGAGTAATCAGGAAAGACCCCCGGGCCGGAGCCGCATACTCACAATGTCGGACTCCTTCTTACGCCGCTTTTTACGTTCCGGTTTTGGCACCTGGAGAGTGGAACAAACAGATCCCTGAAGAACACAGTCTCAATGAAATCCCACAAGACCCTGGCTTCAATGGGAGGGGACAGGCTGATAGAGGGAGGGGTCACAAGGTGGTGGGAGGGGCCGCTTCAAGTCACACCTTGCTGGCTGTGCTGTCCAGGGGCTTGCACTCTGTCATGAACTCGTCCAGAAAGACCTTGAAGGTGTTGACCCAGACCCGGACCGGGGATTCAGCCCAGTCTCTCTGTTCCTGCCGCATGTTCTTCTCCAGGATATGCTCAAACAGGGCGTAGAGGTCCTTGTAGCGCGTACCCTTACCGTCATCCAACTTGAAAGGGTTTGTTGATTTGTGGAAAGACACCACACAAAGATTCATTCAGGTTTTTTTGGACTGGAGTTACACTTCCTGTAGTACAGTATAATCCCCCTAGAACCATGAATCATACTCACAGCCAAAGCAGTGGAATAGGAGTTGAAAATGTTCAGGCGGAACTCTTTGAGGGCTTTCTTAAAGACCACATCCACCATGGTGTCCTTCTTACTATCTTCACTCTCCAGGTCATTTATCTACAGGGCAGGGAGAAAAAAAAAACACATGAAACGCAGTTTAGACACAGGGAGGCCAACCCTGCTGAAGCAGATCCAGGAAGGTTAATTCGAGATTAAGGAGACGTGCCTTCTTCATGAGGAACTCGTTCATGCAGCGGTAGTCATTGGCGCCGGTGAACATGCGCAGAAGGTCGTTCTGCCAGGGTGCCGCATCCAGGGACACGCTGCTGATCTTCACGCTGCGCCTCCGCTTGGCCCGAGGAGACGGTTCCTTGTTCTCCTTGGATTCCCGTCCCCGCTCGGGGCCCACATCCACGCTGTGCGGGTGGGGGCGCTCATGCTCCCCCACATGCGTCGCCCCTCCCGCGCCATCCCCTTCCAGCGGCTCCTCCATGCTGGCCGACTTCTCCCATAAGGCCTTCTTGTCCCCTGGCTTCGCCTTTCCCCAGAAGCGCATCTTCCCACGGACCCTGCTGCCCACGTCAGAGTCAAGGAGAATTGACAACAATGTGAGAGTCCGTCAGAGTCACAGAAGCAGACGGCACAAGCAAGGAGCCAGTCAAAGTGATTCATGGAGAAACTATGACTTTCAGCTACTACGAGAAATTCAAGTAAGTCTTGATCTCTCAGTCATAATCGCAGAGATGAAACCAGGCTCAGAGAGTCAGAGTGACTGTGACTCTCAGTGAGCGAGCCAAAATCAGGGAAGTCGTGTTCTTTCACTATGAATCATCGGAAAGATAAGAATCACAAAGAAGAAGCCAGTCATAGAGTCAGAAAGTGACTGTGATTGTTAGTGATGGAAGTCATGTACTCTTGGTAAAAATCACAGTCATAGTCTCAGTCACTATGACACATGTACAGACTCAGAGTGTCACAGAGACTCATGTTCACAGAGACAGACATAGACCCTTAGAGCAGCCAGGCTAACCCAGAAGGTCGGTGTCCCAGCACTCCTCAAGCACACAGTCTGTACATACAGAGACCGCCACAGTACCTCCCATCGAAGTGGGAGCCCTTCCGCAGGGAGTCTGTCTTGCCCAGGTCCCCGGACGACATGGCCTTGTGCATCTTCCTCTGATGAGAAGAATGTCATAGTGTTAGCAGAGGTCGACGTTAGCACTGTCTGGGAATTCCTAACTGCTGCCTTGCTTAACAATATGTCTGTCCTTGTACTACATCCTTAAGCCTGTAGGTGGCACCATAACACCACTGTTGGATGATCATCATATGCTTTGACTGGTGTGACCTTGCTCAGACATCAGAGTTGCGGGTTAAGCCTCCGATCAGCACTTCTCTAACTGCAGTGCGTCCCAAGGAATGCAGCACATTCAGTACTCAAGAGGAGAATCAACACACACGGAAGATTTCAAATGGACTGGGACTGGGGATTAGAGAAGGGCAACACAGCGCCCCCTATCTAAGTCACAGCTGTATTATGCACACTGCTTCTGAAAAACACATTATAACAAATTTCATCAAGTTTTAAGAATTGTAAATAGAAGTAGAAGTCAGATGACGCAATCCACCTGCAGGACTGATACAAAATAAGTGTGACATGCTGGAGCCTCTGGAGGGATAGCATGGAGAAAGAGAAAAGGGTTAAGACAAGAATAAAGGCGCCCCCTGTAGGCAGTTAGAGGCTATGACATGCAATGATTATTTGTTAATGAGGTTTGGTGTGAAACATGCATCTTCTCTCATACATGCACTCTCTGAAATGACTGACAGGAAAATAGGTCAATCCGTTTAGGCCCACCCTCCCTCTCGCTTTCAGATTATCTTCGATTGACAGCAGACTGGGCCAATCCGATCAAATCTAGAGAGGAATGGGTTAGGAACCAGGGATTGCACTGTGGGTGAAGCGATATTTCAGGAACATCTGTGTGGGATGGTGCTAGATTTGCAGCTCTGAATCACCACAGCCTATCATAGAAGCAAGCTGGACACAAAGCCGCGGAGAATGGGTTATGTTAGTTCCCAGGTCGAGCCCATTTCCAGAATGTTCTTCCCCATCTACAGAAGAATGGATCACAGACCCCTGGAAGCATGTTTAGTTGTCAGTTCTGTGACTCTGCTCAGCTGGGCTAAAGGGGTTAGCAGCAAAGAGTCACCGCCCACTGCCCGGCACCAAGGAGGGGGTGGGGCACAGGGCAGTCCTGGTAGAGTCTATTACCGTTTCTGAGTCACTGTGACAGGCTCGGCCTGCACCCCCCTCTGCATCCTGCGTGGGGAGGGGTGGGCTGGGGGACAAGGGGGGCGTGAAGGGGGAAGCCGCATCGTACTCATCCTCCTCCGACGCCCCCCCGACCTCCCCCTCCAGACTGGAGGCGCGGGTCAGGAAGTCAGAGCGTGTCCGTGCCATCCGTACCCTCTTTCTATAGCCCGGCACGGCCACCTGGTCGACCAAACAACAACAACACGGGTGAAATGTCGTCTCCTGACGCCAACGTTGCCCCCATCATGGGGAGGGAGGAGCTTTAGCCTTTCGCATCGCTCATCCCTCATGGGCGAGTCTAGGATTTTTTTTAAGGTGTTTAGTCATAACAGGGGCCATAATTCATACAGAGGGGAAAATCGTATCATAAGCCAATGATATGTTTTGAATTGGTGAGTGAGAGGGGAGGGGGCACTGCGGGGGCCGGCCCTGTATACATCCCTCTCACCCCTGAATGAGGCCTTTGGGCCTTAAGCACTGCTTACACCCGCTGTGAATGTTGACGTCCCTACATGCGCCCACCAGCTGCAAACAAAGACAGATAAACACGCCGGCAGTGGCAAACATACACAGAAAAGAAGATACGCAGATGGAGAGCCAGACTACACTGTACGGGGACAGACGCACACTCACACAGACGTGCTTACAGGCAGCTGTAAACACTGACTATCCCGGCCTGCCATGTGACCAAAGCGCGGATCCGTGCGACTCACTCCCACGTGGAAAATCCGACCCAAACTATAGTCAACAGCTAATTAAGCATTCAATTCAATTATACTTTCTTTGTATTTTTATTGCATTTATATATAAAAATATATACAATTAAATAATGTATTAATACACTTAATACACTATTTAAGCATCAAATCGGACAAAATACACTAAGAATTCGTATTTTCTTAGCTGGAGGAAAAAGGTAGCTGCAGAAGAAAAAGTGAACGTGGCAAAACTGGAAAGTGACAAAACTGGAAAGTGACAAAACTGGAAAGTGGCATGTTATCATACCATCTTCACAGAGTGCTGACGTGTTTCTTCCGTCAAATATTCTGAGATTCTAAAACTCCATGGAGTCTCTGGCTCACCTCACGTCCTTTAGATCCTGAAGGGGGCTTCATGCTCAAAGGGGAGTCGTCCTTCTGGATTGCCATGGACCTCTCCTGATTGGTCAAGTCCTTCTCAGACCTACAAATGCATCCGCAAGGGTCCATAGGGTCTATTCATGGTTATACAACATCTGTATATATATTTTCTACCTTGTTCAATCTGTCTAGCAAATGCTAGCAGAAGGCAGAGCGATGAAAGCTGAAGACCTCCGTCACTCACCTGGAAAAGGAGGCTTTGCTGTCCCATGGGGAGTAGAAGGCGTCGGTGAACTTGTCTGTCATGGTGATGCTGATGGTCTGGGTGTGGCACTTCTTGGGGGGTGTGTCCTCCTTGGACGTGCTCTCCACAGTCTCCCTTTCACCTACGTCAGCTTGAGGAACGGGGAGGGCTTGACTTGCAGAAGACACATCCAGGGCTGGCAGATTGGAGGGGGCAGGGGCTGGAGACTCGGGTTGCTGGAGCCCACGGCCGGCCGTCTGCCGATACTCCTGGATGCGCTGCAGGGTCTCCCCGCGTTGCCGCTGAAGCCGCTCCCGCTCCTTGCGCGCCTGCTCCTCACGCTCCCGTTCCAGCTGATCACGCTGAAGACGGATCTGCTCCATCATCTCCTGCTCCATGCGCCGCTGCTCCTCACGTCGCCGCTCTTCCCGCTCATCCTGCAGGCGCTCCAGGTGCTCCAGCACGGCCTGACCGCTGGAGGTAGGGGCTGGAGGTGTTGGCGGGGCAAGGGATGGACTTAGGGTTGGGGACAGGTCAGCCTGTAGGATGGTCCTGTCACAGCTGTCAGAGACCCCCGGTACCGGCGACAGGACGTCATCCAGCGGCGTCTCCTTGTGCATGCTGATGACCACCACCATCGGCCGACTGGCCAATAGCTTCTTTCCCTTCAGGGACTTGCTTGTGCTATCTGGCTCAAGAGTTGGAGACCCCTCAGGGGATCGGTGGGTGATATCTCTGCTCTCCTTGGGGGGCACATAGAAGGTTGGTAGGTGGTTCTCAATCTTGGGGAAAGATGCTGGGCTCTCTGTGTCTGTCACAAGTCTAGTGGTAAGAATATCGGAAGACAGCAGATCATTTGGATAACATGACTCAAGATCTCCAAGCGACCCAGGGATTATGGGTGAAGAACTGTCTGCCACCTCCTCCAATGTGACAGGGGGACCATCTTCTGTTCTTGGCAGATGGAAGCTTTCCTGGGAACTCTCGCTGTCTGGGGTGTCTTGTGGGGACTCCAGACTCCCTGGGACCAACTCAGGAGATGACCGCCCGGCAGTGCTCCTCACCTTCAGCATCTCCAGGCTGAATTTTGCCTGCTCCAGCTCCCTCATCCTCCGGTTCTCCCTCTTAGCCCTGGTTTTCTGAACGGGCTCATCTTGGGTGCTAGGCGCCCCTCGAACCTCACCATCCTCCACCTCCCGGACATCTGTGTCCGCTTCTCCATGCCAGGGGCTCCCTTTGAGGCCAGTAAAGACTGGGAGTTCCCTCTTATCCTCACAGGAGTGATCCTTCATGCTCGCAGCTTCTGCATCTGGTGTTGGGCTCCACTCTCCATTCTGCAGCGGGATCTCCTTTGGTTTATGCTCTTTTAGAACCTTAAAACTGGAAAATGCACACAAGGACTCTTCAGCTGGGTCGTTAACTTCAAGCAGCAACACCAAAGCTTTCCAAGCACGAATGATACACAGTTTGCATGGTACCTACTAGTACCTGCAGACTGCCATGATGACTTCAACGGGAGGTATTTTATTTGTAAAAGGGGGACAAATCAACCAGTGTATCAGTGCTTACTGAATGAGACTTCAAAACCACATCCAGTTTGGTCTCTATTTTTGACTATATATGTCAAATCCAGTGAGCTAAAGCAGTATGGCCATCTGAGGTGGTATGAAAACATCCTTCCAGCAGACTAATTTATTATGGGCTAGAAGATTAATATATGAGTTTAACAAATGGGAGAAGTGTGTATCCTCAATGCATTGAGATGAAGCACCACCCCCAGATCAGCTGCTCCATACAGGGAGCTAATGCTAACGTTAATGTTTCTGTGCTGCTAACAGCTGCCTGAGCAGGCAATCTGTTGCACACTGTGAAGAGCAGGGACACGTCACCTGAGCCGCGCCAGGCGCCCCCTGCAGGCAGCCTGCAGGAGCACCACTCTGCTCCACAGGATGAGGTAGCGCTGCCTCTGACGATGCCCGCGCCAGGCTGTCTGCACGATGAGCGCGGCCCGCTCCCGGCAGCCTTGTCTGTGCTGCCTCCAGCTCCTCTGGATAACCAGTGCCGCCTCCCGCCACTGCAGGAAGCTCCTCCGTGCACAGTGCCCTCTCCAGGCCGCCTGAAGGCACACCACTGCCTCCTGGTGGAGGCTGCTGTTGATGCACCCATCAGGCTGAGCGTGCTTTGGCCTGCAAGCACGCCACCAGCGCTGTGTGCAGAGA